CTATGTCGACCGTCGGCGGAGGTTTGTGCATGATGTTCGGCAACCAAGACCGACCAAGGCCTTTTGTCGACTTGGAGTAAGGAAGGCAGGACAAAATCAGAAGCAGCATTTGACGAAAGACCGCCTATTCAGCAGTTTAGCACAGTCCCCGCTTTAGCTTGATCGACTTGTGTTGGACACTGAGACTATCCGATATCCAATTGGTTGGCAAGCCATGCAAGGCCTGCGAGGGCTTTATCGAGGGCACCGAACTTACATCTCACATCTCATCAGCTCTCCTTCTTTTTCTAAGACAACGATTGCGCAAAAGGTTCGGAATTGTTGCATTAGTTGGATCTCCAGCCACGTGCGCAAAGACCTGAGCAAGAGGATGTACTGTATATCCCTGGCTAGTGAAAGCATTGCAGCATTGTGGTGTTGCAGACACATGGCCGAATGTCGCCATACTGTGGTTGAGGTGTACATATCTACATACGAGACCCTCAAGGCTCATCTAGCCCCTGGTGCTCCTAGGCTGCCTAATTTCTATTCATTTGTTTGGTGACAGATTCACTCATTAGGGCTCGAACAGGTACGTTTTGCGTCGCTTTGCAGAGGTAAAGAGCTATGTGGGTCAGAAGGGTGAAGGGTTTGAAGCTGGACCCACCAACGGGTTCAGCAGCCGGGTGGTTGGTGTATACTTGGTGCGCATGTAGAACCAAAGAATATAGAGGACACTATCAAGGATATTAATTGTGTTGCAGTTTGGCACGATGCTGGAAGGGATTTGCTGCAATTATGATAGAGTAATTTGAGCAAGGCCCACCGCATATAGCGACTGCACCTCAACTTTTCATACCTGACTATAAAGCAGACATTGTAGATTGTTAGATCATTGTAGAGCAGCGCCGTGACGCAAGCGAGTGTTGGAGTGTAAGCGGCATCAATAGGCAAAGCGCAAAAGTGTCGCGCACGAAAGAAGCGCTGGTGGCTGCCAGTGGCATGAACACATTAGCTAGCCGATCCTTTGCCTCAACTCAGTAGCGGGTAGGTGATTGTCCAATCTTGCGCGGTCGATCAAAAGAAAGGTTGAGTTTCATTTGCCTGGAGTGGACCATCATAGGTTTGGTACCTTCGCAGAATGGAAACATGTAGGAACCAAATCAATCATGCGAACCTGATCCCTTCTGCTTTTCCAGTCCCTAGTAGCTTCTTCTGGGCCACGGCAGCTTCCAACTCCCCCTTCCGGTCTTCATGGTAGTGATTTGTGTGTGTGTGCGTGCCACTCATCACACGCAATAGAAGATCCAACTTGCCACTCCTGCTTGACATTGCGGCGTATATAATGTTTCAGAAAGTTCATTCGCTTCATGCAGGACACATTGCCACTGGCAATCCAACTGTGCCTCCATTGGAAAGAATACATAGGCGAGTAGGCTATATATCTACACAATAGCAAAACTGCCAGAGTTTGGCATGCTTGCACTGCTTCACTCCGTGCTGTGCAGGTTCACATTAGCATTGCAGCCGAGGCTTCTGAGATTGCCTTTCTTGGACACCTAGCAGCTGGGATGGGTGCTGAGGCTTGGATTTGCCAGGTATCAGTATCAGCAGCATAGATCTAGCAATAGCCCATGAGAAGACCAAGTATGAAGATAGCCGCCAGAACGGTGCTTGGATGTAGCCGTTGCAATTCTCAAGACCACTGAAAAATGAACAAACTGCACTATATATAGAAAGAATGCAGTTCCATAAAGTACACTCTACGGTTCCCCTTTTGCAAATTGTTTTATAGTTCCATAGCCAGCAATGCAAGTTGTGAGTTGTGGCATCGCCACTTGTCCATGGCTCAAAATTGCCGGGACCTACCGCCAGCAGTGCGTCAATGAGCACTGCTCCCGCCATGTAGCCTCACACTTTCATATTGAGGGCTTGCTTCATTCAAGCCCGACTTTTGCGCTCAGTACATACAGGCGAAGCGGTTGTGATTACTGTGTTCGCGGAACAATTGCTACAGGCCTGTTGTCCTCCTTGCACTGCTTTGAATCCAGCCGTGACTTGGCTCTAAGGTGCCTTTCCGGTACTCCATGTTCGCATCTTTTGAGGCCTGCTGAAGTCCCAAGCTTTGTGTTTGTCACATTACGGGTTTTATTTTCAAACGAGGATGTATAACGACGGACTGAAAGATAGAATGCCCGGCACGGCGGGGTTTGCAACGTGGGTGCTTAGAATGCCAAAAATGGCACCCGGTTAGAATGCTTACATCCAAAAATATGGGTCAGGCATTCTATTTGTAGGGCTTTGGCAGAATTCATCCAAAGGGTTGTCATTTTTGATGCACATTTTTGATGTCATTTCTGATGAACCCCGCCGGCCATCAGCAAATCCACATGGCTCAAAAAAACATTGGCCGCAATATAGACAGCAGAAATCCAAACACGCGACGCAGGAGAATCATACACAGGTGTCCAAGCTGGTTTCTTTCACAAGCGGTCGAGAAGACATGGAGAAGACTTTGCAGTCATCCGTGAATCCTGCTGATCTATCGGATGGAGAAGAACCTTCAGGTCTCCCTCCAGTTCCGCCACCACCGTTAGAGAATGAGGGCGCTTGTTCGCCGTCGCTAGATTTGTGTACAGTAAAATATTCCCTTTTTGAGAGGAAAGTCAAAGGTATCACCTAAATTAGATATATAACATATATATATATATACATATACTTACACAGGTTGAAAAACATGCTCAAGCCAAGATAAATAAGCATAAACAAATATTCATAGAGAGACAGAGAGAAGATGAAACATGTTGTATTCGAGAGAAAAACTTGCAAAGACTTCAATCGGTTGATCTCTTGTTTTAAATCACTGTGACTCACACGGCCCTCTCCCTTATACCAAGGGAAGCTGTGGTGGAATGTAGCTTGTCTAACTCGGTCGCATTTTTTAATATATAGGGGGTCCCTGAAATCGGGGTGGTCCAAATCCAAAATAGGGTGACCTGGGAAGGGCTTCAAAACCAAAAAGTAACTCATGAACATTTTTTATATAAAATCCTCTATTAAACTCGTATCAAAAATTCAAGTAACCTCCAGATCGAATGGTTTCATTTTAGAATGAGATAGAATGCGTATGTGGACATTTTTAGAATGGGAAACAGTCAGAATCACTTCTCAACATGATTGAAGCATGGGAGCATTTGGGCCAGCATCCAGGCAGAGCGGGGCCCTTGGCTGCCGGCATTCGAAGAAGGTGTCAAGCTTTTTTGATGTGTTGACTTGGCTGTATTGAAAAACATACCACAAAATGCAATCTTCAAAGAAACACGCATGAATCGTTGAGGTTCACTGTGCGCATCGCTAAAGAGACACGCCGACTCCAGTTTGCAGACTATGGGGGCGCAGAGTCTGCAAGAGCGGCTGTTGTCAAGTTCCACGATGTTGTGAACAAGTTGGAGTTGGATTTTGCTGCCAAAAGTGTCAAGGACGGGCTCTTTATGACATGTCCTTTAAAAATCCTTGCAACGCCAGCAAGAATCCACCCCAAGCCTAACGCTACCAGTCCCTTATCAAAACATTGAGTTCTTTGACCGCGGGTCCAGGAAAGGAAAGATTGGTTGGAAGGCTTGGGAATCCGCGTGCCAAAGAGAACCATCTCAGAGATGCTGGAGCAAGCGCAGAGGCAATGCATAGACGGGAGGGTCAGCTACGAGGCAGCATTGCCATCAAGTCACACATCTCTGTGTGACTGTAAGGGATGTGTGTCGTTGATGTGTCATTGTCTGTTTTTTCTGTGAAAGTAGGCATTCTAAGTGGTATCTTTCCAAGCATTCTAAGTAGTGACTTTCCAGCAGCCATGCAAGGATACAGCTGTAGATGCAACTTCCTGCTCAGGTTTTGTGGAGAACGCAATTCTGCAGCCCGTCTGCCCGCATTTCAGTGTGAATATCAAGGTAGGTCCCACTGGTGGATTTGAGGTAAGCTTTGCCAAGGGCGATGAAACTACTACCCGCAAGATGCTATCGTGGAATCAGTGTTATAGGTGGCTAGTGGAGGTGCACGCTGGAGAGGTCAAGGATAAACCCAAGATGGCAACAGCTGCTTGTCTACAATGTCAACTGCTTTTACGCAACATTTTCAGAACAAACACACCCATATCTTATATATATACACATACCAGCATAGTGAGACAGAGTCCTTGCCCAAGTGGAGGCCACACATATGGACAGGTATAAGACCAGGCACACGCGTGTAGAGTATGCCTTCTGTATCCATATGCATGCGTGTGCATTTACGTGAATATCAACATATCTCTGCGTGGCTGTAGGGATGTGTGCTGTGGATTTGTCATTGGTTGTTGCAGGCATTCTAAGTAGTGTCTTACCAGCAACCATGCAGGGATACAGCTGTAGAGATTGCTGCTACAGGGTGAAGGCTTGGCTGCGCAATTGCTCTCCGGCAAAGATGCTAAGGACATCGCAGCTGAACTATAGTGCGATCAAACCGAAAGCGTGGTCCTACTCTTCCTCCGTGTGCAATTTACTTCAAAAGGGGGCAGTGGCATCTTTTGCATCATGGCAACACCGATCGCCAGAATTAGTGGGCCTGCTGGTTGGCAAGTCACAGAAAGGACACGCTATCTGTGCGAAGATCGTAGCCAGCGCGAAGCTTACCATGGAGGCCACCCGAAGGTTAAGAAGCTGCGCTGGCTTGAACAGTTGAGGCTTATCGGGCTTATCCAAGGTCCTGACGTTGATGGGTGTCAGAGTGAGAACTTGCTAAAACAAGTACCAGAAGTACCTGCCATCTGCGTATTTGCAGCTGGGCACATACACAGTGCGTTTTTGAAAATATGCTTTTAAGTCATGAGGACATGTGAAATCTGATATTTTGCCTGTGTAGGTTCTTGATTTTGCGCAATCCTTCCCACCGTGCTGGTTTGTGTTTTTTTCCTTGTTCTTTTCTCTTCCCCGTTTCTTCTCTTACTTATCCTTTTCTTTTAACCCCTGTCTCCTTTACTTTCCCAGGTGAACACCAACTTCCATGGCGACGTGACCATCCTACAGTCTTCTGCAGGCCAAGAAGCCCTCAAGAGGAAAAATCAATCCTTCTGCAGAGCCCCACAGGATGTGCTGGGCAACCTTTGCTATGTGGAAGACCTTTATGTGACCAATAGCCACCGACTCAACAGCCGGGTTTGTCAAGCGTTTGTCACTTCTGCCATGAATGGGCAAAAGAAGAAGGAAGTTGCTCCGGGGGGTGTTATTGAGGATGCAGTATCGCGCGGTAGAAGTTCCCGGCGATGGGCGTTGTGGCTGGAGAACCATTCTTGCACGCCAGAATTTGGATTTGATGGGTCAAAGGAAGCAAAAAAAATGTATATATATATATATATATATTTTTTTTGGATTCAGAACACCACTTACCCACTGCCCACCCTATATATATATATATTTGTTTTTATAGTATGGTAAAGTACGGCGTTCCCACTTGGCTTGAAACGCGGCACCACATTCTAAGCCAAAGCTTCCCTGCAGGAATCAAGCACGCTATCCCGTCAATCCACACCGCACCAAACTGAAGAGGAGATTGGCAGCAGTACTGCTCCGTGCAACAAGACCTGTATTGTCCTTAGCGCAATGTGCACGTGTGTTTATCTCTCTCCTGTGTGTGCGCAAATGTATATACTGTATATATATATATATGTACAGCAAACATTGGCAATGCACATGTTCAAGACTATATAACTCTATTTGTATATATACTCCAAATGCTGGTCTTCCTACATGCCACCCCTGAACCCTTTCAGGTGAGGACGCGGCGCAGCTTTTTTTTGCGTGTCCAGGCTGATGGCTCCTTTGATGTGGATGACCTTGAATTGATCTCAGCGTGCCTCGAGTTTGCTATCAGGCTTTTCATGGGCCTTGACACCTAGAAGCAGGTTGTGGACATTGAAGGTGATCAGAAACTGCACATCAAACCCGACATGATTTATGGGCCTGGCAAACCTTTGGCGCATTTGTACTTTCGCTACACAAAAGCCCTGATGAGGACAGAGTCTTTGGCCATTTTGATACTTTGGTGGAATGTGCTGAGCCGCTAGTGGCCACCAAGTGGTTCCCACATCCCGTGCCACAGCAGCATATGCGCTCCTTTGGTTTGCCGTGTAAGCTGATGCATGTTCTTGTTATATATATATACTGTGCGATTTGAGGCATGCGTGCCCCGCATGGATGTCCTGCAAAGAGAGACCAAAGGCTGGTTTGGTGGGTTCAAACGCTTGCCGGTACATGTGATATTCAATCCACGTTTGGTGTATGGCTGCGTTCTAAATGCCTTGAACATGCTTGTGCTCCAGAGGGCAACGATTTAGTTCTCCGATTGACTTTATACTATACATAAAACTCCATTTTTTCAAGCTATGTTGCAAAATGTTCCAGCTGAAGCAAGCACACTGTCCAAGGAGCAGGTGCTCTTGGACAAGGGTGGGGTGAACATGTTGAAAAACTACCGATGCCCATGAAACTGTGGATGTTGAAGTTTTGCAGTTGGATGGAGCGCGCAACCTTCTTGGGTTTTCCCTGACAGTTCGACTTTCTCCTGTGAAGAGTTCAGCAGCTGGCGTTCCAAGTGACGGTCAAATGGACAGCTGCCAAGCTGCCTAAATATCAATATACTGGCAACTTATTTTTCAGGTATCAGTATCTCGATTATCTCTCTCTATATATATAGATATACAAATAAACAAAATGAGTGTGTATGAGTGCCCACAGATTCATGGGGAAGACCTGCGTTCTAAGTGCAGGTCTTGACTGGGACAGGGACAGGGATGTGCGCGTGGAATCCGAAGACATCACTTGTTTGTGGTGGGATTACAAGATGCAGCGATGCAAGCCCATTTGACATAAACTGTTCTAGAGGACGCGTGACGAGGAGTCAGGAGTGAGGAGTGAGGAGAGAGGAGAGAGGAGAGAGGAGAGGAGAGAGCAGAGAGGAGAGAGAGGAGAGGGAGGAGAGGAGAGGGAGGAGAGGAGAGGGAGGAGAGGAGAGGAGAGGAGAGGAGAGGAGAGGAGAGGAG